TGGAGATTCTCAGGATCATTGCCTTGCCCATCTTCTACATATAACTGTATGGCTTGACATTGTCATGTTTCCTAGCTCTTCTCCTTTCCCTCTCTTAGTTAGTCCTCGAGATCCTGCTTTCCTTTTACTTGTATTATACTTTTCTATTTGTATTTCTTCTTTTGAGTTCTTATACTAGGGAAACTATATGATATTTACACGTGTCTGGTTTATTTTACTTATGAGAATATGTTCAAGTGGCATCCACTGCAATATAAAGGCTTCGAGTTTATCATTCTTTATAGCTGAGTAATACTCCATTGTGTAAAAATACCCCATCTTTTTCAACCATTCCTCAGGTGATGGGCATTTTGGTTGTTTCCAAAAATATGGAATGCTTCATGAATTTGCGTGTCATCCTTACGCAGGGGCCATGCTAATCTTCTCTGTATCATTCCAATTTTAGTATATGTGCTGCCAAAGTGAGCAGTATAAGACAAATTTTAGCAGATATGAAAAATCAAATGAGCAAGTGTACAGTAGTAATGGGCGAATTTAACATGCCACTGTCACAAAGGGATAGATCAAGTAGGCAAAAAATCAGCAAAGAAATAGCAGAATTAAACCAAACTTGTGAAGAAATAGACTTGCTAGGCCTTTACAGAGTGTTTTACCCAGCAACTACAGAATACACATTCTTAGCTGCACATGGGACAGTCTTCAAGATAGAACACATACTCGCACACAGAGCACTCTTAAGTAAATGCAGAGCAACTGAAATCCCATGCACAGTGGAGTAAAATTGGAAATTATTGCCAAAAGAAACTATAAAAATACTATAAACACATGGAAATTAAATAACAATCAACTAAACAAACAGTGGATCACAGATGAAATTAAAGAAGAAATTAAAAATATTTACAATCAAATGAAATTGCAGATATATCTTACTGAAACCTATGGGATACAATGAAAGCTGTCTAAGAGGAAAATTTTTAGAGGTAAACTCACACATTAGGAAAACATAACAAGCCCAAATAAATGATCTTATAGGGCATGTCAAGCTCCTGGAAAAAGAAGAGCAAGTCAAGCTCAAAGCCCAAAGAAGGCAGAAAATCATAAAGATAAGAGAAGAAATTAATGCATTGGAGACAAAGAAAACAATAGGAAGAATAAATGAATCAAAGATTTGATTATTTGAAAGAATAAAGTTGATAAACCCCTAGCCAACCTAATCAGAAAAACGAAAACCCCAAATCATGCAATAAAAAATGAAATGGGAGAAATCACTACAGACCCTTGAGAAATTCAGAAGATCATTAACACCTACTTCCAAAATCTTTACTCTCACAGGATGGAAAACACAGTGGAAATGGACAGTTTCCAAGGTACATGTTAAATGTCAAAGCTGAGTCTAGAAGATGCAAACTTAGAATAACCCAATAATGAGAAATGATATTGAAAATCTAATACAAACCTACCAGTAAAGAAAAGCCCAGGTCCTGATAGAGTCATAGCAGAATTCTACAAGAAATTTAGAGAAGATTTAATGCCAATTTTTCTCAAATTCTTTGGTGAAATTGAAAGGGAAGCAAACTCATTCCTGGAGGCAAGTATTACTCTGATTTCAAAACCAGAGAAAGGTCCAGCTAAAAAAGAGAACTATCGGTCAATCTCTCTGATGAATATAGACACAAAAATTCTCAATAAAATATTAGCAAACAGCATGCCCCAAATCATCAAAAAGATTATACAATGTGACCAAGTGGGACTCATTCCCAGAAAGCAGGAATGGTTCAACACCAAAAAACTCCAAGAGTCTTACAGATTTAGTAACCAAATTCAGCAATGTAGCAGAATATAAAGTCACCACCCAAAAATCAGTAGCATTTTTGAACTCAAAGAATAAACACACTGAGAGAGAAATTGAGGAAAGCTGGCCATTCACAACAGCATCCAAAAAATGAAATACTTAGGAGTCAGTCTCACACAGGACATAAAAGATTTATACAGTAAAAATTATGGTACTCTGAGGAAAGAGATTGAACAGGATCTGAGAAAATGGAAAAACATTCCATGCTCCTGGACAGGAAGAACCAATATTTTGAAAATGGCCATACTCTCAAAATTGCTATACAGATTCAATGCAATACCAATTAAAATACCATTAGTATACCTAACAGAGGTACAGAAAACTTTTCTCAAATTCATTTGGAACCAGAAGAGACCCAGAACATCAAAAGAAATATGGGGAAACAAAGTAAGAGCAGGGGGTATCAAAATCCCTGACCTGAAGTTACACTATAAAGCTACTTCAATAAAATCAGCATGATACTGGCATAGACAGACCTGAGGATCAGTGGAACAGATTAGATGATGCAAACCCACTCAGCCACCTTATCTTTGATCAAGGGACCAAACAGGCTCACAGGAAGAAAGATAGCCTGTTTAATAAATGGTGCTGAAAAAACTGGGTTTTCACATGCTGAAGGCTAAAACTAGACTCATACTTATCACCATATGCAAAGCTACAGTCAAAGTGGATCAAAGGTTTAAATATTAAAACAGAAACATTAAATATTTTGGGGAAAAATGTAGGTAGAAATTTTAAAGACATAGGGATGGTAGAGTTCATGATCAAAACCCAAACTGCATGGAAAATGTTTCAAAGAATCAACAACAGATCTTATCTTTCTGAAAAGTTTCTGCACTTCAAAGCAAATCTCCAACAGAGTAAAAAGGAAACCAACAAACTGGGAAAAATTCTAGCAAACTGTCCCTCCAACAAAGGCCTTCTATCTAGAACATATAAAGAATTGAAAAAATCAGACCCCTCAGATTCAAAGACCCAATCCAAAAATGGGCATCTGAGATGAATATACCCTTCTCAGAGGAAGAAATATAAAGGATAAGTAAATATATAAGAAAAATGTTCAACATCATAGGTCATTTGAGAAATGCAAATTAAAACAACAGTGAGATTCCATCTCACCCCAGAAAGAATGGCTAACATCAAAAACTCAGCCAATAATAAATGCTGGAGAGGATGTGGAGAAAAAGGAACCCTTCTGTAGTGTTGATGGGAGTGCAGACTGGTACAATCACTGTGGAAATCAGTGTGGTGATTCCTTCAAAAGCTAGGATTGGAAGGGCCAGCCAAATAGTTCAGCATATTAAAGTGCCTGCAAGCAGGCACAGGTACCAGGGGTTTGATCGTCAGGGCCTCCTGTACTGGCCTTGCCCCCAGAGCGTACTGAGATGGCACTTGAGAATGGGCATGGTAGTGCACGCCTGTAAGCCCCACTCTTGGGAGGCTTTAAACAGGCAGATCACTATGAGTCTGATCTAGTAGCAAGACCCTGAACACCCTGTAGACCCTTCCCTAAAACACACACACACACACACACACACACACACACACACACACACACACAGTGCTAGGATTGGAGATCCCATTCAAGCCAGTTATTCCCTTCCTGGGTATTTTTCCAGAATAACTGAAATCATCATACCACAGCAATATATGCTCAGCCATGTTTATAGCAGCACAATTTGTTACAGCTAAATCCTGGAAACAACCCAGATACCCATCAACTGAAAAATGGGTAAAGAAAATGTGGCATTTTTAAATGATGGAGTATTATTTATCCTATAAAACAGGATATATTTGAGTCTTTTGCCAATAAATGGATGCAAGTAGAGAACATACTCTTAAGTGAAATAAACCAGACCCATATGTGCAAACATTGTATTGTCTCCTTAGTGTGAGAACCTGAAAGCGAAAAATGGAATCTTAAGGGTACAATAGACACTTGTAAAAGGGAATGAACTTATTTAAAAGGAAAGAGTTATTGAGTTGATGAGAAGAACAGGAGAGGGAGTGGGGGAGAGATTTACCTGCATATGTATACAGGAGAGTTTGGACAAGTGTACTGTGCATTTCTGCTCATCTATAAGAAGAAGCAGTTAATGCTTTAATTTGTTTCATCTCCTTTTTTCAATTATTTGTGCTTTTTGTCCTCTTAATTTCTCATACATTTGTTTCTTTTTTCCTTTCTTCTATTAATTTTACATGCATATAACTGGTTGGAAGATGACACTGTATTACAACAAATACTGTGAAATTCACATTAGATTGTTAAGTGAAATTCTGTTTTAGTTATAATTCATATTCTTTGTAAAAAATATGAATAAATAAATAAATAAATAAATATGAAATAATCAACTGTTCCCAGAGCCTTGGACCCCTTCTCAGGGATTCTTGTGTCTTCTTTTAGAAAATTTGGTCTTAGAGTTGCAGGAAAGAAGACTGAAACCTCTGTAATGTGATAGCAAGCTGATTTCTAAAAGAGAGCTGGAGAGCAAGTGACTTGTTGACATATGTGTCTCGAAAGCAACATTTGTTTGTTTGACACATATCTGAGTTTTTTTTATTAGTATGTTTGGAACACATAATGATTTCATCAAGGTGGATGGCTAGTACACGTACAGGCTATGTCTTAATTCTTTCCTTGATTTTTTCCACTTCTTTTTTCATTTTAAAGAATGAAAAATAAAAAATTAGAAACAATACAGAATTTCAGAAAACAAGATGATATGAATTCAACAACAGTTGTTCTGTTGCATATGGTTATCTTCAAAGTGCTTGATGTTTTATATTATGTACCGAGATCTATTCCTCTAGAAATCACAGTGTCCCAATGTGCTCTGAAATAGCACAATTGAACATTTCAAACTTTCCAAAGCAGCAGGTGATGCTGAATGTTTGGATCCGACAGGTGGATAAGCCAGACTGTGAAGGTTGACTTTGCTTTTGTCTGAAAAATATCTTCAGTCTTAGTCATAGCAGTGGAAAACCACCAATGCAATTTAACCAACTAATTTCAGTTTTAGGAACACTCAGTTGGTTGCACACATCCTTCAATCATGAGTAAGAATATAGTTGTTATTAAAGTTGGGACATTGATAGTTTTTGTTATGTTGATATCATCTTTTGTTCAGATGGAGGTAGCTCTAATGAGAGTCACTTAGATGATCCTCCATGTAAGCTACTGGGAGTGGCTTCTAAGTGCCTTTGGGAATATAAAGAAAGGAAAGGTTCAGGTTTTAAATTCTCAGCTCAGTGGATGACCAAGAAATTTCTGAGATGGCCCTAGAAAAAAATTTAAAATCATTTGTAGCAAAGAATTTATGACACTGAAAATCAAACCCAGAATCTAACTGTGTGAGTTACTGAATTACCATACAGTGTGAATTCAGTCTTCCCAGCTATCTCAAGTAAAGATTACAGCATTGATAAGGAAGAATCACACACCCTAGGATTGGGATGGGGCCATTTGGGGTGAGCTGATGACTCATAAAGTGTATTTTTTGTTTTGATTAGTATATTAGTCAAGATTCTTCACTGTGCATAATAGAATCCATGCTGGCTAATGGAGATCCCAGAATCACACAACTTCTCCTTGCATCCCATTTGCCCTGACCTAGCCATAGTCAGGTAGGACAAAAGAAAAATATAGGTAAAAAGAAGACAAGGAAAATCTTAAATTTAAAATTATACTTCCAGAGACCAAGTCCTAGCCCAGGCCTGGTGAGTGTGTGGAAGAGCTTCCGGCTACCTTGAGCCAGTGGGACCTACTGGTCCCAGCCCAGGTTCAGCGTGGGAGACACCCTCTTTTACCCTCTTGAGATGCCCTCCATTACTCCATAGTATGCCCACACACCCCGCAAAAGAGTAGGAATTTCTGTCGCGTTCTGGGAACCACCAGATCCAGTCCTAGTCCAGTCCTGGTGAGTATGTGGGAGAGCTGCCTCTCGCCCCTACTCCACCTTGTCCCCTCCAGACTCATCTCAGGCCTGGCATACAGGACTGTGGTGAAACCCTGCAGCTGCAATCCCTGCAGAGAGGATAGGGGACAGAACCACCCAACTAGTCCAGGAGCAGAACATTTTGCCAGAGGGGCACAACAAGTTCACCCCCAAGGGCAGCAGCAGGAAGGAACTGAGCACAGCAGCTAGACCCAAGCCAGGCAGAGCTGGATAAATCCAAACTTTGTAGATCTACACCTGAACTTTAGTAGGTGCTAAGGCTATAACTGCAACAAAGATCTACAACAAAGGTCAGAAGACAGTGCTACACAAAATGACAATGAGAAGGAGCAAAATGCAATCTCAGAACCCAAGCCCACCCATAACAAGT